GAGAAACCCCAAAGTCCACTGTACGATAGGAAGTGACTACGATACTCTCATGGTCTGAGGAACTAAAAACACATTCTAACACTCTTTGTTATAACAATTGATTTCAGCTGATATTATCTCAAAGTATAATAAACAAGATTGGGTCGATTCAATATGATCATTCTTCTAACATCATACTCTCAATGTTGTCTTAGGACTATCGTTACTCTTAACAATATCCTCAGATCCGGAAAACATGATCAACAACAACACTTGAGCCAGTCCTAGAGGCAAGACCGGGAACCTATACTTAACTATTTTATCATTCCACACGTGCATATGAGTTTTTCACTGAATCACATATTCCATTATCATAGCAGTTATAACATACAATATAAACTATTAATTATGAAAATGAAAATATAATAATACCATATTATTGCCTCTAGGACATATTTCCAACATATCGGTACACTTGACGATATCATAAGATCTGAAAAAAATAATCATCAACAACAATAGCTAGTCTTAGAAGCAAGACTAGGAACCTATTATTTACTACTCCCTAATATGAGTTTCACACGTCAAAAACATGATCAACAACAACATTTGAGTATTTATCATTTCACACGTGCATATGAGTTTTCCACTAAATTACATATTCCAGAATCATAGCAGTTATAGCATGAAATATAAACTCTTAATTATGAAAATGGAAATACAATAATACAACATTATTTCCTCTAGGGCATATTTCAACAAAAAATGTATTTCTTTCTTTTTTCTTTGAAGAGAGGCACAAATTTGCTTCTAGGAAACACTACTAGGGAAAAGCCTATACACAGAATCTTACCAGCAGCGCTCCTCAAAATACCACGCTACTGCTATTTAGCAGCAGCGCGTGTTATCAAAACGCGCTGCTGACAGGAAAATAGCAGTAGCGCGTCCACCACAAACCGCGCTACTGCTATAATTGCCATGACCTCGCCCCCCCCCGCTAGTTATAGCAGTAGCGCACTACACTGAACAGCGCTACTGCTATAGAAGTTAGCAGCAGCGCGCTTCTAGGAAAACCGCTACTGCTAAGATCAGCCCACAAGTTTAGTCCCACTCGCTCCGTGAACAGGGTATTTACCACCTTAAATATGTTATTTCTGAAACTACCACAACCAGTTGGTCTTCACTGAACTCTATGTGTAAAATTTGTGGCCGCAATATGAGTCCTCTCCGGTTCCTACCGGAGAGGACTCATATTGACAATTCAGATTGTACACAAAAAGATCATTATATTGATGGCCAATGTATTTTTGCATGGACGTACTTTTTGTATAGTTACACTTAGCAGTAGCGGTTTATACGCAAAGCGCTACTGCTATTCAGATTAGCTGTGGCGCGTTTTGGCAAACGCGCTACAACTATCCCTACCTTATCCCCACGCGCAGGACCGGCCCTCACTCACACTCTCACTCTCGCCCGCGTAACCGTCGTCGTGCGTCTCCGCCGCCGCCGCCTTCGTCCGTCTACCGCCAAGGTACTCCCCTCCTTCCATCCCTCCTCCCTCCTCCTCGCACATCCTCCCTCCGCTTGCGGCCGCCCCTCCCTCCTCCGCCGCCCTCCTCCCTCCTCCTGCGGCCACCCCTCCTCCCTCCTTCGCCGGCAGCCCTCCTCCCACCGCCCTCGACCTCGCCTCCCCTAACTACCTCTCCATTGCCCCCACCCCCTGCCACTAGTTAGTACTAGATTTAGTAGTAGTAGATGTTAATTTAGGGTTCATAGCTAGTACTAGATGTTGCTTAGTTAGTACTAGATTTTTAGTAGTAGTAGATGTTAATTACTAGTTAACTAGGGCAGTATGATTAATAGTAGTTGTAGTTGAACTACTTTAGTTGTAGTTGAACTAGTTTAGTAAGTAAATTAATAAACTAGTTGAACTAGTTGAATTAATAGAACTAATGTATTTTTAGTAAGATAATTAATATAACTAGTTGAACTACTTTATTTTTAGAAAGAACTAGTTTTTTTTCTATTTATAGTAAGTTTATATTTAGTAAGAACTAGTTGAATTAATAAAACTAGTTGAACATGTCATATTTGTTGTTATTTTTTAGTTTAAGCAATTATTCGGGATGTATTAGTGATAACTTATATGGTTTCAGGTGACCACCGTTGTCCCCGTCACCGACCCCCTCCGACATCCCCGCCGTCGTCCCAGTCACCGACCCCCTCCGACATCGAGGTGAGACCAGCCAAATATCCTTGTATATCTTGTGTTGTTGCTCAAATAGGATATGTGGTTGCCCAAGTGGCCGTTCATGTTCAGTTTACATCTCCGAGTGACCTATGTTTTGCCGGAGTGTTGATTAATTTCTGTTCCGGCAAATTTCAGGCGCTCGATATGTCCTTTTTTAGCAAAGGTCATGCCGGAATTTTTCGTGAATTCTGGCATGACTTGTGCTAGAATATGTACAAGTTTAATCTTTGAATTATGAACGTAGGAAATGTCGTACTCGGACAACGACAGTCTCCCGGGGGAGTGTAGCTGGTGCCACGACGATCGAGGTATGTGCGACAGGTTCATTCAGCTGGACGAAGATCGGTGCTTCAGCATTAAGCTTGAGGAGACCTTTGATTGTGAAACGGTACGCAACAACGACAAGTATTTTTTTCGTAATTAAGCATGACTTCAACTATTTCAACGTCTAATTTTCATATTTTATAATTCGACTAGCTTATCCCATGCCATGCAAGACGCTATGTCTTGGAGAGGATGGGTTTTAAAGACCATGAAAATTTCGAAACAAAGAAAATACACCTAAGGACCCATCATGATATGGATTTTGAAGTAAATCTGTGCAATGCTCAGAGCGTAACCCATTTTGGTTGCCAAAATTGGGAAGCACTTTGCAAAATGTATGGTTTTTATGAGGGTATGATTGTCACCATGGATCTTGGTGATCCTGACATCGAGCAAGACAATATGGACATTTGGGTCCTTGTTGATACGCTTCCGATTGTACCGCTATGTGAGTTTCTCAAACATAGTTATTAACTAATTTATATTGTTTATTTCAAAATAGTTGATAGCTTATTTCCATTGACAGCTTATTTTGATTCTTCAAAGACTGTGCGGAAGATGGTAGATAAAACCCACTACACCGATGGCACCGAATTAACGTATAAGGAGAAAAATCATCTGATCGCATTTTGTACTCTTCTTGAGAATTACAATAACTATTATCGAACTTCTCCAAATTATGGTAAATACGTGCCACTAGTGCATGTGTTGAACCACGGTAACTTCTCTGGAGATACCCTGGTAAGATTTTTTACTATTAAGACATCCATGCATCTTTTGCATACTTCTAAAACTAGTACATCATTGCTAACTACGAAGTTGTTATTATGTTTTTCAACAGAAACTCCGGATGGATTGTGTGCCTCATCTGATGTCTCTGCATGGTCGCCTCTCAGTTCTGAACATACTGCCAGGTAAATCTACGGAGCTCATCTGTGCATATCAGATTTCTAAAACCCGTGAACACATGTTCATCAAAGAATTGAAAAAATGTATGGACATTCGCAAGGAGGTTCTTGGAAGTAACATTCAGCGAAATTCAAGAATTGGAGACAGGCTAATCTCCATTCTCCATAATGGAGAGTCAGGGGCTATCTTGTTTTTTGCTATTTTACCTTAGAAAATGTAGTAGGTCTTAATCGAATGTAATAGGTCCTATGAGGTACAATATGTTTATTATGTGGTAATGTGTTAGAGTTGATAATGGGAATTCTTGTGGTTACGACTAGTGACCAATTTGCTATGTGATGTCATTGATGAAAACGATGATCTTGAGGAGGTGTTATATGACAATGATGTATTATGATGATAAGTTGTTAATGATATGATGATGATGATGATATTATTATATTATTGGATGAAAGAATCGTGGATTAGTTTCAAGTGGATGGACATCCACTTGAAACTAGTCCACGGTTCTTTCACCCCGTGATGTAATAACTCATTATAATGTAAAAACAATCTCTAAATTCCTGTTGTATGAAAACTTGTGTAAAGGTGTATGAATACAACATGAAATAAAATACTAAAAATAGTAATAGCGCGGGAAAGGAGAAGCGCCACTACTAATTACCAGTAGCGCTGTTCTGAAGAAGCGCTACTACTAAGTCAATTTAGCAGTAGCCTGGATCCAGGCGCGCTATTGCTAAGCATTAGCTGTAGCGCCTTATCAGTAGCGCTCCTGCCCGCGCTACTGATAGGCCTAAAACCCGCGCTGCTGCTAGGCTTTTTCCTAATAGTGAAAGTAAAAAAGTGTATTTTTGCTTCGAGGAGAGGCAGATATTTGCCTCCCGTGGAGGGACAAGTTTGCTTCCATGAGAGGCACAACTATGCCAGAACCATGCTTCCAATTCAATTCCGTCTGATTTTTCTTTGTTTTATCATGAAAAAGGCCATCAAAACCTATTAACATGGCAATTAGTCTCAAAGATCTTCACGCGATAAATCCAACAGTGAAAACGGTTCAAAATTTGGACGCACGGTTTAAGAGATAAAAATATTTTGAATAAACGAATCAACGAAAAAAGGAAAAACATCCAGGTTGCGACAAGTGACTCGCTGCATGTGCATTGTTTGTGGCAACCTTGAAAGATGGAGTGATCTTTACAAGTACTTTTTTTGTGAGAAAAGCAAGAAGTATTCCTTGGATAGTGATTTTGGTATTTCGGGCTTCTTTTGTGGTGTGGGCCTTAAAACACTCGGGACGACGTTCTTTCGTCCGTCGTTGTTGTCGTTTGTTGGTTGGTGTGAAGCAGGCCCAAGATGCCGGGCGGCCAGCCCATCCGAGTCCGTCCACCAAGAAGAGCTACAAAAGGCAGCGGCCCTCGGGTGCCACAATAAAGACGAGGCCCCGGATCGATCGAGGAAGCAAGCAACTGCACTCAAACCCTAACCGACGTCCCCTCCTCCTCCTCCGGATTCTTGCGGCGTGCGATGTGCCGGTGCCATGGCGCTGCGCTCTCCCTCCAGCACTTCGCGGCGGAATCTGGGACCCCGTTATTCGTCGCCGGCGGACTCTCTGCCTCCCACCTCTCAGGTACCTAATTCCGCTCTCGTTCGTTCGATCCACCTACTATGCCTGCAATTCGCTGCCCGACTGCCTTGTTCTGACTTTTATCACCAAATTAACCCCATCAAACGGGTTTTATGCTAGTAACAAATCAAATTATATGATGCGCCTTAGCCTTTTCCCCAGACAATAACAAAGATATTGGTTTGATGCAATTTCCTAATTCAGACCCTTGTTAGGAGAGGGTTTCTGTAATTTGACCCAATAATGGTGAATATTGCCACTGAAATGTGCACAATAAGTGCCGGATTCAAGTGGAGGCCTATCTTACAATAACAAAGATATTGTTTTGATGCAATTTCCTAGTTCAGCCCCTTGTTAGGAGAGGGCTTCTGTAATTTGACCCAATAATGGTGAATATTGCCACTGAAATGTGCACAATAAGTGCCGGATTCAAGTGGAGGCCTATCTTAGATTTTTGTGCTAAATTTGTTACTTTTTCTTGCTTGAAAAAGTGGTGATAATTACTCAGTGGTTGGGTTTGGCCCCTGGCTCAGGGTGGACACGGTCCGAGCCGGTCCGGTCCCTGTCCGAGCTGGCGTTTGGACCGGCCGCCGGCGGTCCGGTCCGGACCGGACCGAGCAACGTCGCGGTCCTGTTTTCAGGGACCGGACCGGCAATGGCCGAGCTCGGGCCGGACCGAGAGGACCGGCCAAGACATGGACAGAGCGCGCTCTGGAGCTCCGGCGACGGCTCATCGGAGAGATATCTTGCTAGAGGAAGCGCAGCTCATCGAAAAGATGTCTGGGAGCTTGAGAAGCATCAGAGAAAGCTACGTGACCAAGAAGAACACCGGAGGGAGCTCATCGGCGACGAATCTGACACGACGGCCAGTGGACAGAGATGAAAGGAACGATGGCTGATGCGGCTACGTAGGACCTCCCTCGTCGATTTTTTGGACGGAGATGATAGATCTCACGACGGAGGAACTCCTAGACATGATGGTTCGTCGCCGGAAGGCTGGTGGCCATGGTGTTATGCGGCGGTGCTCTGCTTGTGCGTTGGACGGCGGCGGCCGCGACACAGGTGCGTGGCCCTGTCATGCCTTGGCCGCCACGCACTCGCCAAGCCCCCGCCAAGCCCCCGCCAAGCCCCAGCCATGCCCCCAGCCACGCCCCCGCCCCGCTCTGGCCATGGCCCCGCCATGCCGCCGTCTGCTTCTTCGGTCCGCTCGGTCGGCCCGAGCTTTAACCGGACCGGACCGGCTGATTTTCGGTCTTGTTTTGAGGGACCGGACCGGCCGACTTTTTTGTCGGGCCAGGACCGAGCCAGCCCGGACCGAGCGGGCCACGAGCCGGTCCAAAAGACCGCTCGTGCCGTCCACCCTGACCCCTGGCCCTGCTCGCACATTGACTACACAGTGGATATGATGAACCCCTTCTATATGCACATAAATCTAAGATGAAAAAATTGGTACTTTTGCACTGTAGTTTGAAAATTTTGGTGCTTTTGCAGAGTAGAGTAGTTTTTACTGAAGCAATCTGTAGTGGTTGGGCTTGGCCCCTGGCCCCGCTAGCACATTGACTACACTGCTGATATGATGAAACATTGATTCCATGATATATGGGCATTTGATTTACTTGGAACGAAGAAGAGTATACCATCCTTATGTTTTATGTTCGCTTAGTGACTTTTTGTGGATTTTCTACTGTACTGTTGTTAAATCATTTCCAAAACCCACTAGTAACATAAATTTGGTAGCTGTAGACATATACTAGTGATCAATCTTTTGAAAGTTTGATAGTATGGATTCTAGAAGGACTATTTGCAGCCAGGCATGCTCTGTCGTTAGCATCTACTAACACTCAGGACTAGCTGCTTTAACTCATGTATCACTATCTCATAATTATCTAATTAATCTTACCAGGGTGGATCCAGCAATGGAGCCAGAGCTGATGTTGCTAGGAAGACAAAGGAGGAGACTGATCATTTGTTGGCAAAATTAGAAAAGGAGGGAGTGGAGATAGATGGCAAGATAACTAGTATTATTGGTGATGGGATAGGTAGAATCCAAGCTGATGCTGCGAGGTACTTAATTCTGAGGCACTACAACTTATTTGATTTGTTATAATCAAATGAAACGATCCTAGCATTAATGCATCATGCACATCCTTTTTATAGGGAGCACATGAATGAACCAAAATGGAAGAGGATTAGACGGCTGCTCGCTATTGCATCTGCTGCTGTTGGTTTCGTCGTGGGTGTGAAATATGAAATGAATAGGTACCAAAAGGAATTTGCCAAGAGTAGACGACCGATCTTTTGGCAGCTTAAAAACTAGGCTGCATCCTCCCTGCATTTCCCATAAGCCGCCTCTCTTATTAATTGGGGCTTCTAAACTAGTTATGGGATAATTAATTTAGAAGTCTCGACAAATTTAGTGGACGGTTTATTCATTAATCTCGAGAGAGGCAGCTTATTTTTAAGCGGCCCAAAACAACTGGTCCAAAGCTTGTGGGTGCACTCTGTTTATGGTATGTAAAACCAAGTAGACAATTTTGGCTAATTACTGTGGTTTTTGGCATGTATACTGTAACTCTTATTTGGTAACACCATGTTGTGTGGAGCAAGTGCTCTATTAAGTGCCCCTAGTTAGCTAATGTTTGGTAATTGAAGAAGGTGTGTGTGATGATTATCTGTGGACCGATGGTGATAATTTATGAATATGACAATCAGATGGTGGTTTAAGATTTGTGGCTTCACTTGCATAATTTGTTTATATTGGAATCATACATTGTCACTGTGTTGTTCGTATATTGGAATCGTTAATTATACTGGCTTTGCCCCATGGGCTCTTCCGGTCTTCATTTGTCACTCTTTTTTGTAAATGTTATTTTATTGGGCGCTGATAGGCGCCGGCGCGCCGGCCCAAAGTTTCGGCCGGTCGCGCCCCAGCCGCCCGATACGCGCGTCCCATACCACACGATTCACCCTCGCGCGCGTCTTTTTTCTTCGCGTCACTATCTCTGAAGCATGTGTTGCTCGTCGCCCCTCCCCCCGCCCCCTCCCTGGCCTCCGGCTTGAAGCTCCGTGGCGGCGCTCGTCGCCCCTCCCCTCCCTCCCTCCCCGGCCTCCGGCTTGAAGCTCCATGGCGGCGCTCGTCACCCCTCCCCTCGCCCCCTCCCTGGCCTCCGGCTTGAAGCTCCGTGGCGCCGCTCACCGGCTCACTGTCGGCTTCGCAGGTGCAGCTCGCCGGGGCGCTGATCGGCTGGATGGTTGCATAAAAAACGAAAGATAAGGGAGGTTCCAGCTTTGCTTGAGCCGCTTCCAGCAAAATCAAATGTTGATTGAAGCAAAAAACACAAATACAACAAGAAATCACCATAGACACAAAAAAAGGGCAAAAATCACCATCGAGACAAAAATACAGCAAAAATCACCTTGAGCATCGCCGTCGCCGTCTAGCACTATCTCACCTCCGCAGGGCCAGTCCTAAGATTTTGGGGGCCCGGGGCGAAACGACAAACTGAGGCCCCTAAATTTGAACATCAAAATGGTTTTTTTACTTTGAAAAGCTTCTCCTGGCATAAACTTTGTGCAAGTTTTAAGTTTTTTTTTGCTTGCACAACATTATATGCAAAATATGTAGCAGGAATCACTAACGTTTTCTATAAGAAAATTGTTTGGAAACTACCCTCCATTGATCTGTGAATCCATCTTCATTTGCTTACAACATTATCCTCTTGTTTTCTTACTTTATTATGGTCCTAATTAATCCAATAAAATTAACCACCAACTCTACAGTAAGATTTATGTATATGGCATACTATGTTTTCACATCTCGTTGATGACTTCTCAAAAATAAATTGCAAGTAATTTCACATCGCATGAACACACAATCACTATCTTTCATTAGGCAATTTAATTGTTCCAAAAGGTTGAAATAAAAAATCTATGAAACTTTGCTTGTCTTGAGAGTTTTATATACCTGGATGCAGCACATGTACATGTAGTAGAGTTCCCCTACGACCATACTGAGCCATCAAGCCATCTACTGATCCACAAGATCACATGCTCTCTCGTCAGACTCCGAGGACTGAATGTGATGCACAAGGCCACCAATCCTTTCACCATGTCCATGCGATGTCCAAGCTATCATCACGCCCCAGCTGTGGGCAACCACGAACACCTACTTCTGGCCGGGGTAGTTGATGAGCGCGACGAGATCGTCCAAGAACTACGGTGTGGTGTGCTGTTCCGCCCGGCCGGAGGGCGAATTGGAGTCACCGTAGCGACAACACGATACCTGACTGCAGCCGGCGGCATCTTGGAACGCAGCAGCAGCCGATGGATAATTAGGGAGATCATACAATTAATCATCGCGGTCACAGGCGGAGATCTCGGTTTGATGTTCTATATTCGCTGATCAATGGAGATCGCGGGATCAACAACTGTCGTTCGTGATATGCGCTCCTGCCCAAGCCAAGTAACGAACATAGAGCACGTCCGGGGCCCCTCTGTGTTGGG